GCTCCCCATTCATATGCTATGGTTAAGCTGCTAATGATTAGTTTATCATTAACCATCATTAAAACATATATGAATGTCAAGTATGGGGTGATGCTAAGACTAGACAATTTTAAGAATAGAGTAAAGGCGAAGCTTCAGTAATCAGTATTTATTTAGATTATGTAATTCAGAATTATACAGGGTGCCACGCCTGTCAGCTAAGAACAGGAAAGTGAAGCTACAATTCACTCTGGTTCACCAAAATTGGACAATAAAAGGTTGGATAAACGTTGCCCGGTCTGATGAATCTTGATTTCCGCTGTAACATTTGGATGCAGTGATGGATCCCGACCTATATAAATAGATCACGGTTGTGGTGGTGTGTAATAGTGTGGGGGATATTTTCTTGGCACACTGTGGGTCCCTTAGAACCAACTGAGCATTGTTTAAATGCCATAGCATACCTGAGGATTGTTGCTGATCATGTCCACCCCTTTATCTTTTACTTTATTTTACCCTTTATCTATTAATTCAATACAGCATCTTTGGAATGTGGTGGAACGAGAGATTGGCATCATGTAGGTACAGCCAACAAATCTGTAGCAACCATGTGATGCTATCATGTCAATCTGGAGCAAAATCTCTGAGGAATGTTTCCAGCAACTTATTGAAACTATGCCACAAAGAATTAAGGCAGCTCTGAAGTCAAAAGAGGGTCCAATAGAGTAGACTTGACTTGATGCTAACAGAGTAATACAACGTGAAGCAGTTGTGAGCAGCAACACTGAGGATAATCCTGGATCATTTATGGGGGAATCAAGCTTAGCTTTTTTCTAATAAATTTCGACTCAACAGGTAGATTCTACATCAGGTGTTTTACTCTTTGACATTTCACTTTTGCGGTAAAAGCTCCAAATGGTTATCAAAATGGTTTAAAAGTTAAATATTATTGGACAAATATGAAGATTACCCCTGAAAACGTTGGGACAGCAGATTTGGAGTCGCTGCTATTTATATAAAATGTCAAACTAACAAAAAACATTTTATAACCATAGACGTGAGCACAACAGATTTCACAGCACAACATGTTAAGCCTCACCTGGGGACTTGACTGGGGACTGCGTGGTGGAGAAGTGGGCGGGTCGCCTTGCTACATAACAGAAAAAAAATGCAGAGCATTCAGCTTAATGTAACATCTCTCAACACAGCACAAAAACTGCTCAGAAACTATGGACAGTTTACATTTAAGCTGCTAAATAATCATTGCCTAACCTGTTACAGTCTTATGTTGGCTTTAGTCGAATGGGATTTTTTTTTTTTTCATACATACTATATGCTGCAATAACTTGCAAGAACTGACTTTGCCTGGATTGCAGACGTATGAGGTGGGAATCACCACACATTTTTATAGACTATTATTTTTAAAATGATTGTGCAACACGTGCCTCCTACCTGCACCGGGGGACTTGCTGCGCCGTGAAACTCCAGGGCTTTTAGCCGTCCGGTTTGGAGTAGCAGAGCGGCTGTATGACGACTTTAGCACTCTGCATTCTGGGAAAACAATGCAGTTAAAGTCACCACAGCATTCATACCACTAATGATACTCCCTGGAGTCTGTGAAGCAGGACAGAACTTGTTTGTTCATGAAAAACTGCACAGGTTTACAGATTTGTGCATATCAGTACCTGCTCCACACCAGCCTTTCATAACTGACTGCAGTAATAGATAATCATTTTGTACACTCTATTTCTATTGCAGTCCAACACATACATTCAAATCATCCAGAGTGCAGTGTGACCCATAACGTATATCAGCAGATACAGAACCTGGATGAATAAAGCAGTTCTAGCTATGAAATAAAATATTAAACAAAATCTTTTTCCAGGACCAACAAATATAGTTTCCAAACTGATTTGTGCTTCATGACTTAAAAGCTAACCTGCTTACATCTGATTACCCACTTTCCTCTCCTCAGTCATAGGGTGTGTCCTGGACCTATCTTCTGTACTCTCAGCAGAGTGCAGTGTGCCTTTTTATGTATCTTCAAAGACCTAATTCTTACAAGTGGAGCACAGCAGTCTAAGTGGGACAAAAGCTCTGAACTATAACTGGATACAGTCAAACCACCATCAGTTAACGTGTAGTGTGTCAGGATATGCCTCCCTGTTGTTAAGCCAACCTGACCAAACAACACAAATATCAAACAGGATGTCAGTATTTTGGACTGCAACTAAATTAAACTTCCTCTTCTTCCCATGAGGTTGTTCAGTCTTGGCTGAAGTTATGTGCAGCTATGACAGTGAATGCATGAGCTGATTATACAGGTCATATCCTGTAAGTGTCCTCTAAAGCTTTCTGCATAATAAAATACAGAAGTATGCAAGACACGCATAACTTATGTACAACACATACAGTACAGAACATTAAAGTGGGATTTTTACAAACACATGGACTTGACATGCCATTCAAAAATTAAAATAAAATAAAAAACAAGAATGCAACCTTCTTCCCTTTTTGACAAAAAGGATGTGTGTTTAAAATATGCAACACCATTTTCAATTTATTATATAGCTACAAACCCAGTTTGACAAAAGCTGGGATGCTGTATAACATGCAAATTTAAAAAAAAACAGAACGTGATGATTTGTAAATCTCTGAACTCCATGTTTTATTCACAACAGAACATAGAAAGCGTACCAAATATTTAAACTAAGACATTTTACATTTTCATGAAAAAATGCTCCGGATGCTGGAGAAGTAAAAAGTGAAAGAGCAGCCAAAGCTCATTTAAAATGAATAAACTTTTCAGCAGTTCAATGAATTGAAATGTAAAATTCTTTTTGAAAACATGGATGTTGCATCCTCTGGCTTAAAGGCGAACAAAATCATTGGGCTTGTTATCAGGACTCCGTTCAAAAGCCTGACTACTGGCCTATGGAATTAGTATCTTGAACATGTTAAAAGTCATATACAGTTTTTAGATGAACAAACACTCCCATCTAGATGATGTCTTTTTCAGGGACCTTGCATATTTAAGCAAGATAATTCTAAAACGAATGCTAATTTATTACAACAGCATAGCTTCATAGTAGAAGAGTCCGAGTGCTGAATCAGCCTCCTGCAGTCCAGATCTTTCCCCAGTTGAAAACATTTGACATTACATTTCTTAAAATGATACATTTTCTCATTTGATATGTTTTCCATGTTCAAAATTCCAATCAACAATAAATCACATATGGCATTGCACAGGAAAACACACAGCATATCTTGATGTCAACTTTTCAAAAGGAAGGAGTGTTTCATGCAGCTGCAGGAGAACAAATAATGGGTTAAGAATGTCGTGCTAATACAGAGACACACACAGAGACATATGTTTGGTTAGTGTTAGTCAGGCCTACCAGTTGTAAAGGCTGTGGAAGCCTTACCACTGTGATCCAGCACAAAGTCGTCTTGGGCATAGCGAAACTTCTCTGGTCCGCACGCTATGAAGACATCATCATCTCCGAAGAAGTCCTGCAGGCAAGTAATCTGGAGACAAAACAGTAAATATTAAGGAGTGATGAAAAATGCGGATATCACATTTTTCAGATCTAAATCCTCATTGAAGTATTGATTTCCACACGTGAAATAATTAAACACACACCATCTAATCTGCTTTAGCCTGTGCCACTGCAAACCACAATGCAACCCACATATTCACACTATGCCTGAGTATTAAATACCTTTTCTGTTCTGTATGGGTCTTGCTGCCACTTTCCAGATATACACAACTACAGGCCAATTATAAATAGCAGATGGAAATAACAGCGCTCTTTTGAATGCAGTGACGCTGACTGAACAATGTTTGTGTCTTGCATCAACTGAACTCATCCAAATCTAGAAGAAGTTAAGAACTGTTATGAGTAATGATTTATTACATTTATTACAGTAAAAGATACAAGATGCCTTTTAAGACAAGCTGGATTTCACAATTCATCCTGCCAAATGTGCCATTTCCAGAAACTTCATTAGCTCTAAGTTTAGTAGTAATTGTATTTAGTAATTTAGTAGTAAACCAGAACAAGTTTTAGCTACATGTTTAACTGCAGTGCTTTTAGATGTAGACACTGTGCAATCAGCTAAATAAAACAGGCCAATTAAAATTAGTCTGCATGATGCTTACAGTATGGTAAATTTGTGACTGCGCAACTGCTGTGTCACAAATACACTGAGCGTGACAGCACGACAAGGTCAGAACCTCTCCTGACACCCAGAATACTGCAGAGTTAATGCAGAGTCTTGAGAGGGAAGCAGTACAGTTCGAGGTTGTGCCGCAGGGTAATTTCTCTTCCTTCTTCTATTCTGTCTCACACCGTGGTCGTCATTTTCTCTGCAGCTCAGAGCACTTTTTGTTTTACACCCACCACCACCCACCCCTGGAGACGGAAACAGAAGCTACTTTTAAGCTACACTGAGTCGTGCCCATACACACACACACACACAATCCCTCTCTTGCTGTAGGTGGACAAGTAGGAAGATAAAGGAGCAAAATATCCGTTCATTATCCCTCCCACCACTGCATGCATGTGTGCCCACTCGCTGGCAGTCATTTGAGTTGTGTCCACACACACACAGACACACACTTTTGCAAATAAGAGGTGGGGTACTGCATGGCTAAAGACTGTGGGCAGATGGATCCTCTAGAGGAGATTAGGGGTTGACACAGCGGGGAAAGTGTATTTGTGTGTGTGATGGCCGACAGAGGAACAGGTGGTGTAGAAAAGCAGAATGGCCACTGAAGAGGGTTAAAAAATAAAAAAAATAAAACAGAGATGGAAGCTGACATAAAATAAGTTAGAAGTGGAGGAGGAGTAAAAGCTTACAATGATGAGAAGTGTAGTGTTTGACATAAATTCATAAACTCAGTTACTCGTGTATTAGCAATAAGTGAGACGCACAACGTGTCTGCAATCAGACAGTCTGAGTTCAGAATGAAAAATTCAGTATCCATGACTTTCTTATAGTGAATGCAATTTCTTTTCAACTTTTATGACAACTAACGACCTCTTTTACTGGCAAAACTGAGGAGCAGTGCTGCTGTGGGGAAAATGTCTGCAGAATTCGTGTCCATGCTTAACTGTGGCAGATTACTGAAGATTTGACATAGCTGAAGTGAATGTCATTCTTTAGACAGGCTCTCACTCAGGAATTTGGCAGCTGATCCTCACACTGTACAGTGTAAGCACAGGTGGTAGCACCCGCCCCAGGGAGCGTCCGATGCGTGTCAAAAATGGACTGTGGTGGACTACGAACTCTCATGCTCCTGCTGCATGAGGATATTGGGTAACGTTTCCACTTGACCTCTGACCTTGATCTTCATGGCCTGCTGTTTCCTTCGGTGTGCAGACATCATGAGTGATGACACTTTGCTGCATTTTCGCTGTGTCATTTGTTTAAGGACAACGTGAGACAGCAAAGCACAGACTGCTGAGGTGAGCAGCGAGCACCGTCCTCTGGCAGGGGAGCCACAAGCTGGGATGACATCAGCAGCGAGAGGGCTTTCGTGACAGCTTATAACAACAGTTTGTCATTTTGTGAAACGCTGTGGTGGACTCAGTTTATGTGAATTTTCTCACCATACTCAAACCTGTTGCACAGTCCAGTAAACTCTTTAATCACAGGCTATTCAGCTTAAAATGACCTTGCCAGAATTGTTCTACCTCACTAATTCACGTGTTATATCATAAGCAAACAAGATACACATGTCAGTGCCCTTGGAAGCTTGTGATATTATTTAAATATTGTCTTAGAGTTTAACTTTTAAACTGAGTAATGAGAGTGGCTGGAGTGATATTTATTAATATAAACATCTTGCATCAAGCTAATATAATAAAAAACAAGGCTAGCTTTTGTATTATGTTATAATAAAATTGTAATTTCCATTTACTATGTAGTACAGCTGTGTGACTGCAGCACTTCGGATGTAAAATAGCTGCCTTGCTCTGTGTTGGCAGCTCACTGAGACTGGCCAATTAAAATCAGCGGTTCTACTTGGTGGACCGGAGCTAACAATCTCCTGGCTGCAGCTTCAAACACACGAGGTACAGATAAATGTTCTCATTTAAATGTCATGCATGCAAATAATAAGCACATTTCACAATATAAAACTACAGCCTCACATTACACGATGCCTCTTTTTCACTTGTGCAAAGAGAGTGGATGATAAATTACATCACAATAACCAAAAAATTTCAATCTAAAATTGAAATCTGTGCCTTAATGCCCCAAGACCTACTTGTCCCATGTGCCCTCTGAGGCAGTGGGCTTATTTATGAAGAAGGCAGACTGGAATATTATACATCACTGTTGAAAAGGCTAGTGGCTGCACACTCATTTGCTTTCACCCCTACGCACACCTCTCTCTGCAAGGCTAGCACTGCTGGGGCCTATGATAAAGTACTTTTCAGCTGCTCTGTGACGCCCGGGGGGAATGCAAGGGAATTCAGACAAATTGTGGCTGTATGGATACATTTTAAACAGGCATAAAAAAAAAAAAAAGAAGAGGTCAAGTGGTTAAGTTAAAGAGCAAAGTCTATGAACAGAGGTTGTGTTCTGTGTTTGTATTGATTTTCTTTTTTAAATTGAAAGCAGTTTAGAAATTTATTATTTATTTGCAATTTATTAAAAAGTGACTGACTTTATATTAAATAAAAGACCACGAAAAGTCAATTAAAGAACAGTTTATTTAATATTTTGGATTTTCTTTTTTCCAAGACGGGAGGAACAAGTGACAGTGCATCGTTATATGATGTGAGTCAGAAACTACACCACGCCAACCTATAATATCACTTAGTGTACTATAAATCAGACCATAATTTATAAAATGAAGCCATATTAGATCAGATTAGAATGTTTACTAACTGAAAACTCCGTTAATTTTCCTTACAGACTTCAAAATAACTTCTTTTTTTTTCAACCAGTTTAAGTTTAAGGCAGTCCTGCATTGACTTTACTTTCACACCATCATCTTTCTTCAGCACAGTGATTGAAATACAGGCTTTTACATTTATATCAAGGTTTTACAAAAGTATTTCATACACTTCTAGGACTTACAGGTATTTTTTATACATCCCATTACCAGTGGTTCATAAGTAACTGGACAATTCACTCAAAAACTGTTCCCTTGTAATGTGCCATGATAAACTAAGCAGATGAAAGACCTGAAGTTGACTCGAAGTGCTGAACGTCAATCTGGTGGTTTTTTACTGGAACTCTCACTATGAGGTCCAAAGAGACGTCACTGCAAGTAAAGGAGGCCATCATAAGGCTGAAAAACCAAAATAAACCAATCAGAGAGATAGCAAAAACTTTAGGAGGTGGTCAGATCTACAGTCTAAAACATGCTTAAAAAGAAGCCATGCACTGGCAAATTCAGAGACCTGGAAGATCCCAGAAGACGGCTAAAGTGGATGATTGCAGAATTATTTCCTTGGTTAACAAAAATTCCTTCGCAAAGTTTACCTAAGTCAATGCTCTTGAGGGGATATCACTTTCAAAGCCTACAATCAAGAAACGGCTTCATGAATGGAAATAAAGAGGGTTTACTGCAAGGTTGTTAAGGCCAGATTAGCATTCGTCCAAAAACATTTAAAAAGCCCAGCACAGTTCTGGGAAAAACAATCTTTGTACAGGTGAAACCAAGATTAACTTTTACCAGCATGATGGGAAGGAAAAGTATGGACAGGGAGGGAAACAGCTCATGACCTGAAACATACCACATCATCTGTGAAAAATGGCAGAGGCAATGTTACGGCACGTATAACTGCCAGTGGAACCAGGGCACTAGATTTAGATAGAAGTACCAGGATGAACTGTGACGTGCACAGGGCCATACTCTCTGCTCAGATTCAGCCAAACGCTGCGAAACTGATCTGACAGTGCAAATAGATGATAACCCAAAGCATACTGCAAAAGCAACCTTAGAGCTTCTTAAGGCAAAGAAATGTGATATTCTTCAATGGTAAAGCCATTCACCTGATCTCAACCCAACATAGCATGCATGAAGACAAAACTGAACGCACAAAGACTCACAAAGACACAAGAACTGAAGGTGGCGGCAGTAAACCCCTAGAAGAGCATCTCAAAGCAGGAAACAGTGTTTGGTCATGTCCAGATTTGGGGGAGTGGTCCGAGTGGTTCTAATTTCTGAACAGTTAATGCAATACATTTAATAAACTCTTTGAATTTAATTCAATCTGCACACCAGTGACATATTGACTCGTTGTTTTTAAAGTCCTCTGTGGTGGTGTACAAATGTAAAATTACAGGACATCTCCACAGTTTAACAGAAGGGACCTCTAGAAGCAAAAGTAACACAAAATTACTTAAACTAAAGTCAACCAGCAGCTTGCTTCAGTGATGCAGAGGCTGATATGAGGATGTGCGTATGCTGTAACATCACAGCGGGATGTCGTTACCAAAGCACACTTCTAAGAAGACCCAGGTGTTATAAATCATATGAAAGAACTGCACAGAGTGGCCTGAAGATG